GCCTTTAAAGCGGGCCCACTCTCTAATGAACAGGTCCCCGCCTCAAAGCAGAAAGACGGCATCAGCTCCCTCACCTCACTATCTCTCTTTCGCTCTCTGTCTCCCTCTCTGTCTTATGTGTGCGCGTAAGTATGGAATTGGAATAATGTACTCGTAATTGGATATGTGATTAATGAGCCATGTGCGCGTTCGCCTTTGACTCATCACACGTGCTGACTTATCGCTGTCAACGGGCGGTCCCATATCACACACGCACACACACAAGCACACACATTCTATGCACTCGTTAAATATTTCCCGATTAGCTAACCTGACTGCAATTATACAATTATAGAACTATGATATTTGATTTAAATTTCAAAATTTGGTTTGGCTTTTATACAAAGAATAAACTGAAGGGGCTTTATTACAGCTGTCGGCTGCAGTTGCAATGTCAGCTTGAGCTGACAACCGAATGTTGCAAGTTGTTGTGGAAATGTTCAGTTAATTATGTCTCAATGGAACGGGCATTTCTTGTTGTTGTTGCTTCACCTTTTGGCGGCGTGCGGCTTAAAGTAAGAGGCGTCGATGAAATAAATGTAATTAATGACAATTAAGTGGGCGTGGCAACAGCCATACATGCAACACAAGTAGCCCACTGGACGCTAATGAACCATATTATGGGTTGGCTGCCAGTGTGTGCGTTCGTGTGTGTGTGTGTGCGTGCGTTTGTGTGCTTGCGTGTGTGTGTGTGCTTCTTTATTACATTTACGTTTACGTTAAATAATTGCAAAAGCTTAAAGTTGTCAATGGAAGATGCTGTTAATTGGGGTCAGCCAGCTGTTGCAGGAGCAGAAAAAAGGACCACAGCAGCTCCTTGTGTGCTTCATAAATCTTCAGAATGAATCAGGTCTCTTTTTAACTCGAGAATATAATTTATTTGATCAGGAGAAAATTGTTTAATAAATCGTAAATAATATATGTGCATTGGCCAGAAAAGTTTTCTTCATAGGAAGATATCGATTCTATGATTGAATCGATATCTTCGACCATATTTATTTCTTAAGAGAAAGTATCTACGTCTATAGAATATCGAATTAATTTCTAATAAAAGTCATATGTTACTTATCTGAGTTCAAATTTACAAATATAAACAAAGAATTCCAATCGATACTTTTCGGGTTTTAGAAAAGTTTTAATATTATATATGTTATTATAGCAATATATAAAAAAGTAATGGAATAAAGATTAACTGGAATATTCTGTTTATATTCAATATTAGTTTGCAGCCCACTTACAAACGGACAGGTAGCCGGACATGGGTTAATCTTCGCAGCTCGTCGATCAGATAAAGAAAATAAATATACTGAATGGGGTTGGAGATGGTTTCTTTTGTGTGTTATATACATTTGCTTAAGCCATTTTGCCCATTTTAACGATAACAGGGTATTAGCTGGGCCGTCTTTATAAATAGTATTTGCATTATGTAAGCACGACTGTAGACAAGCTCTATTTTCATTCAATTTTGAATTTTTAATACCCCACCCAAAGTATTCCCTCATTTTCATAATAGCGATAAATATCAGGGAAAGAAGTTGTGGTTTGTGATAGCATAATTTGAAAATTGTAAGAGCTTGATTAGTTAAATTTGCAGGCAGCTTGGCGCTTGCTACAGGGTATTCCCTAGTTGGGCACGCCCAACTAGAAAACAGTTACTTGTTTTTCGTGTGCATATTTAATATATCTTTATAATATCAAGATTACAGCTAAGATTTAAATACTAATAACAGATAATTCAATATTTCACTAGCTACGAGTTGCAGTCGAATTAGGTCGAATTAAGACTTAATACAATACATTCAATTACATTAAATTATTAAATGCAGCTTATTTGCTAGAAAATTTAAATGAAATTCAATGCAAATGTTGAGGTTTTGGCTTGAGCATTAAGTTTCTTGCGCTGACCATTGAACAAAGTCTATGATTAAATTAGGGGGCAGATGGCAGACAGGGGCAAAGGGCGTGTGAGGTGGCTTAGAAATTATGTGCACAGTTTGTTGTGGTTGAATTGCATATTAAATCTTATTCGATTTGCATTTACTCTGTGCACCACGATTTCAATGGATAATGATGTGTTGTGCTGCATGGATTGACGCTTGGGATTGAGGTTTATCGGGTCTTGGGTGCAGACTTGGGTGCAGGGGGACCGCAGGGCATCTTGATGCTGGGCGTTGATGCGTCTGGCAAGTTGATGTAATGTTGCGGTCGAGTTTTGAGGCACGTTGCTTTGAGGCTTTTGGCCCGACTGTTGCCTAAGCTGTGTAAATAGTTCAAGCCAGACGGTTATAGGGGCGCTTTCAAATAGCTGAATCTCTTCAAATAATTGAAATTTTGTTGCTGCCAGATGAAAAAAATAAAACTGAAAATGGAAATTATAACTCAAATTCTTTTCGCTTATTGTTGCTTTCATTTTTGGGCTGCTGTCCAGCGTATTTTGTTCTGACGCAAATTCTCAACAAAATATTTGTGCATATTTTTTTACTCGCGGCAGCTCAACTTCCCAAAAACATGTCTTTGATCTCAAACATGTTCAACAGCAGCAGCGAAAACAATGAATAAAAAAAAGGTTTTGTTAGGCACAAACAACAAAACGTCGCACCAATTTACAATCAACGTAAAATACAATTTACACACAAATAAAAAAAATGCAACAAAAATCGAGTGAAATGTAAGTGCAAAATAAGCCTCAGAGTTTGCCCCTGCTGCTGCTGGAATTATTCACGGAATTCATTATTATTTTCGTAAGCAACAGTGCCAGGCAGAGTGTCGCCCGAATGCAAATGATGGCATCAGTGGGTGGCCTGGGTAAGGTAAGGGCAAGGGTTTTCCAAACAAGGCAAAAGCTTGTTGATTCCCACTTACAAAAAAAGGCCACACACTTATTTTTAATATTGCACATAAATTAATGGAAAGCGGCTCTGATTGACAGTCAATTTTAATTTATATTTATTTATATTATTTTATTTTCTTAGCAGCTTCGCCAAATGAAGTCACACTTGTTCATTTGAATTCTGGTTACAGATTTCTTATGAGCTATTAATTTACAAATTAATTATATTGTTTGACATGATGTGTTTTTTCATTATATTTAAAATTTTCGAATCAATCTTAAACTGTTTATTCAATTTGTTTTTAAATACATTTTTCTATATTATTCTCATATTTTTTATTGTTTTTAGTTCTAGTTGCACATCTTTTCTGTGCCAACCATAATCTTGTTCTTTCATTCTACTTTTTTCTGTTGAGATTATTTGTTATTCTTCTTTATATTAAGTTACTATTAAAATACTATATTTATCACATATATAAATCAATATGAGGCTGATTATTAAAACTGATGACTTTTAAAATTAATTTTTAACTTGTTTTTTAAATTTTTTCGTCTATTAAGTTGTTAAATATTCCTCTAATTTTTTGTTTTTTTTCATTATTTTTTTTATTCTTTAACTTTTCGCTTAAGTTTTTTAGTATAATTTGCTTCTTTCTATTTTAAAGCAAGCTTAACTTTGAGTTATATTTTAAGCATTTTCTTTATCGTTCTTTTTCTTTCATTCTCCTTTTTTCTATTGGTTCTTTAATTCCCAAAATCAATCTTTACCACGAGCAGTTTGTGAACTGATTCTGAAATCAAATAAGCCAAAGTTCTTTACCTTTCCTTCACATTACAAATATCAGTTAATTAAAATCTTGTAACTTAAAATTGTGTTCAATTTAATGTGCATCGTTTTCGAATACCAATCGATTTAAAATCTGTGCTAGTTTTTACTTAATAGGCACTATTAAATTGGGTTTACGATATCGAAATATATTGTAATAATGCAAACGAGATGCAAGCTGCAGGCAATGCACCGCAAAAAGCAAATCCGTAATTAAATAACAATATTAAAATGTCGCATTATAAAACCTTTTGATTGATGTGCCAATTTGTAAAGTGCGTGTGTGTGTGCGCGTGTGTGTTTTACATTCGTATGTGAGCTGAAATCAAGTGCTTTAACTGCACAAAAGTTCAGTGGTACAAAGCGTGTGTAATTAATATTATTTTTTATTTACATTTAATATGCATGTATTAATTTGCCAATAAGGTAATTGAAGACAGTTGAACAAAGGTGAATAAAAACGCAATTCAAATTTGAATGAATCATTTGCAAATGTGTGCCACAACCATAAGCATAGTCGCTACACCCTGTCGCAGCTGGATTTGTGTTTGTTTGCCTTTTGTTTTTTCGCATTTGCATTTCTTTTGTTTCATACGCAATGAACTTGACATGCAACCTGACGCATGACGCGACTGCTCGCCTGTTTCAGCTGCACGCTGCACCAAGTAGCTCCTGGCTGACCTGCGCTGACGTTTGCTGCGTGTGTCAGTCACTCCGCTTGTCAGTCAAAGGCAGCAGCCGGCTGCCGGCAGCCAGCAGCCAGCAGAGAGCAGCCAGCGGCAGTCAAATGGTCGTCGCACAGTTGGAAATCGGAGCTTGCGAACCGGATTTACTCAAAACAAACAAAAAATTTAACAAATAACAACGTTGAATTATCGGGTGCCATCGGCTGCGCAATGCTCTGTCGCAAACAGTTTTTCTTAGTGATTCTTAAACTAAGTTTAAATCAGTGAATTTCCAACTGTTACCATTTGCTATGTGGCCACAATTTATTTGGTTCGAGCTTTAGAGAAGCTGAGCCGTAGGCTTTCCGCAAAATACGCTGATTTCAGTTCTTAGAATATGGAAGATATAAATTGCCTGACACGGATAGAAATATTTATTACAAGTGACGCTCATGCTCAAAGTCAATGTACCTGTTTTCAAATCGCGAACAAAGAGTATCTGAAAAAAGCGGCAGTGAAATGTTTTTTCTCTCGACTTGAACTTGATGCGCGCTTTAAATATAAAATAACACACAACGCTCAGAACATTAGACGTGTTCAAGAGCTCGATTTAAACGTAGCGCGTAAAAAATTCAAGGAACTTGAATTTAAAAAAAATTGCAAATCATTTATTTACATTTAAAAAAGTTGTGTCAAAGTATTAGAAAGCATAAGACAACAAATTTGATCAAGGCATATTAATATAAAATATATAAGAGAAAAAGGAACTTTTTTAAAGATGTGTGCGACAAGTTTCAGAAATATGGTAAGCATTCAAAATTTGTCACAAAACATTTAAGCGAACTATCAATTTTCCAAACCTAGCTACTCAGCTGCTGTCTAGCCCTAGTGCTGACCACAAGTCAAGCACTGCCACGCTACAGTAAAAACTCGTACAAGAGAAACTTTGATCTGAGTGGCGCCAGCAGCGAGACCATCCTTGCCTATGCGTCCAAGCCACAACCGCCCATGACACTGACGGACAACTACAACTTAATCAGGCCCGATTATTACGATCACCATCCGGCGGAGTCAATGCAGCTGCAAAACTTTGCAAACTTCTATGAGGCTGAAATGAGCCCGGGCGCCGATTTGGGCATGGATGAGTCACAGTTTCTGACCAGTACGCCCGTGCGCGAGCCACAGCCGATCAATGCCGAGGAGCTGCTTATACGCAAGCAGCTGCATCCGGTGGACATTAGCCGGGAGAAGAAGGCCCTGCAGAAGCTGAAGAAGGGCGACACGAAGCCGCGTGGCGCTGACTATGCGGAATGGGATCAATTTGATTATGATCTTTATAGCGTCAATCCCGGCGAGAACAAAAAGTACAATAACGATTTCTAAATCTGGCAGCGTTTTCGGCAAGTTTCTTGTTATTTCCGAATTTGTTTACTTACGTTTGTTTTTGTTAAGCACTGAAATAAATTATTTATTTATTTGTAAATTGCATTTCGCAAATGTGTTCGGAATGTGGTTTTGAAAGCTTTTATGGCTGTCGCAACATCTTTGTCTTATTTTTTTTTTATAATTTTACCTTTTTTCGCTTAAATAATTATTAGTTGCCTAATTTGTTTAATTGCGTTTGTCATTAGCATTTAGCCAGGCGGCGCGCTTCCCTTTAATTATAGAGAAGATATTTTTTGTTAAATTTTTTTTTGCGAAATCAATTTTGGACTTCCAGAGTTTCCAATGTCTCCGTCGCTAAGTTCAAGTGTCTGTGCTTCCGGTCCCAAAGAGAGCTGTCTGCAAGCCCAGCAGCAGCGGAAGCTTCATCATAAGCGTGGCCCTTGCAAGTACGTTGACACCTTGTTTATTTATGCAGCTCTTGTGGCGCCTCTGCGTTGCACAGCTTGTGACATTTCCGCTGGACTTCGGGTCCACTGTCAGCTCTTGGCCCACAACTACATATGTGATGAATGGCCAAGCAGCTGCTGGGAATTTTTCTTATACACTTTTTGACGTCATGGGCTAAAACGTGTTTTTATTTGGTAACTAACAAAGTCAGCAGCAAACAAAACAAAAGAAAAGACAAATAAAAAAATGAAGATATTTCTTGGCGTATCTCTATCGAATGCTAAACAAATGACTAAGCACGAGTTCTGCGCAGTCTTTAGAGCAGGTTTCGTATTGTTTGGGTTTTACAGCAATCTGATATTGAAAATTTCCCAATTAAGGAGAAAAGAAGAATTTCGTGATGTCAGTAGAAATCATCTTATTTGTATTTATAGCGCTGCTCGGATGAGTGACCGAGTTATTGAGGTAACTGGACAAATAGAATCCGTTCGAATCTAAGTTTGGTTAGATAAAAATAATACACCTGAAACAATAAAATTTCACTTAAAGGTGTTGTCCTTCGCCATGTTTAAATAATTATACAAAAATATTTAGTTTGTCTTATCCTCCTTTCTCAGCTGTTTCTTAACTATTAGGAAAGTTTTTGGTTTTTTATTCGACATTTAGAGACCTCATATGGCACTTCTATATCAAAAATGGTAACTAAACAATTGTATAAGAATACAAGAGAATCCAAATAATTGATAGAATTGCTAGCAACAATGTTGCTAAAGTCTTATTAAAAACGTTGCATGCTTTTAGGCGGGTATTAAAATTGTACTTTATTCGAAATGTAGGCATTACATTTTCAATCCGAAAGCTATAGTATACATGACGAAATAATTGGGTTTCTTCTTCAAATTAAGAATGGGAACAAATAATATAGAGAGTACTTTTTGTTGGTCGATTCAGTAAGTCAATTAATCCACAAAATATCAAGTTGCATCGAGTTATCTATCTCAAAGTAAGTTGAGTTTTTTTGAAATATTACGTTCCTATAAATGTAATATAGCACAAAGTAAGTATTGAGGCTCGAGGCTGCTGGACTTGTTTCGAATATAAGCAAAAAGTTATTCTTTTAAGAAGTTTGTTTAAGACCAATAGTTCTGATGACCTGTACATGCTAAACATAAAATATTTCAAAAACTTCGAGTTCATGGAAAAAATTAAATTTATATTGAAAAATATAACTAAAGACGAAAGGGATCGTGCCTGACTTGGAGATAATATGAATTCCAATCCGAGCTGCCCTTAAAAAAATTCTAACTTTCTTCAATATCTATACCCATCGCCCTATATATATGTATATATTATTCAAATGGTTGGACGCGCTTTCTTCGACCCTTAAGATACATATGCAGAAAACTATGCACACATTTTCTCATTTTCATTTACTTCGGTGTATAAAGTATATTTTCAACTTTGGAAAATAAACACAAAATAGTTACAGGAACATTTGAAGGCTGTTCATCTTAAGGGTACTTTATTTATATTACAACGCAACTAACAGGTACTAATAAATTCGATTTTGGGTATTAAATTTAATTATATGGATACTTGGCCAGCTGCTCTTGGGCGAGCGCATAGGTGCGCCTGTCGCGCGGCCGCAGCTGGCCCTGGGCATTCGGTTGGGCGCCCGGCGGCACATAGTTATCCTTCTGGCAGCCACCTTTAGCTGGCTGTGTTTGCGCACGCGCCGCCTGCAACAGTTGATGGTGATCGGGATCAATCTGACCCGGATTCAGATTCAGCTGCTGGCACTGCCCGTTCGGCTGGCAGTTGGTCACATAGCGTTGATAGCTGCGCGTATCACCTGGCACAGACTGCTTGTAGTTGTACGCATCCAGTGTGGCGCTTGGCGATTGGGCATTGTAGTCGCCCACACGTGTCGGTCCCGTCGAGTGTCCACTCTCGGCGGGCAACGGGCCCGAGCCATGACCAGCGTCCAGTACGCGTTCACCCTGTGGCAGCGTGACAACGGCATAAGGCTGTGGATTGCTATAGTGTGGTGAATGTGGCTGCTCCTGTGGCGGACCATAACTGGCGGTTGGCTGCGTTTGAGTTGCGGTGGCGACTGTCATAGCCTGTGGTTGCCTATAATAGCTGTCAGCTAACTGCTGGACGTTGTTCTGTGCCTGCGCCTGAGTGTAGTAGGTAACAGACTGACCTGGAGCAGGTGATGGCGGTGGTGGCGGGGTCAGGCCAACTGGGACAGCTTGGTAGTTGGTGTTGACCAGCAGCGGATTCTGGTACAGCGAGCTGGACATTTGCTGCTGCGGTTGCTGCACATGATGTTGGAATTGCCTCTGTGGCTGCAGCTGATGGCCAGGTACAGCGTACGTTTCATGTGCCACATAGATTGCCGGCGATTTGTGCGTTTGCAGCTCATACGTGCGTCCATGCGGTCCAAAGGTCTGTACTATAAACTTGGTCGGCGGCTGACGGACTCCCGGGCGCTGTGGCGTCAGGTGGAATGGAAACTGCGGGCGCGGATAATGATATTCTTGCGACTGGGCGATGCTCATCAACGACAACTAAATTAATTTATGGACAAACATAAACATTTTAATGAGGCAGTCATTGATGGCCCATTCGGGCAGAGCACAGCTTACCGCCAAGACGAGCAGCAACATGTTGGCCATCAAATAATCAGAGATTCGGCTTAAGATATTCAGACTCTGTTTTGTGTTGTGCACGCCTCGCCGACTGGCAAATGATTGAGCCAGACGCTGCGAAGATCACCTGGTTGGACTTCTTTCAAAGAAGAGTCAACAGAGCAGCAGCAGAAGCAGCAGCAATAGCTGGCAGCAGCGACATCGGCCAGAAACTTGTTTGGCTATTGAGTTGTAATTGTGTTGGCTACGGCGTCGCGTGGCTTTTGATTTGTTGTAACACTTTTAAATTTCATAATTTCTTTTTGTCTATATATGTATATCATATATATACATATATCGATGTGCATATATATTTATTATGCTGTATCTTGTTGATGTTTTCGTCGTTGACCACTTCAACGTTCGTTTGCTTGTGGCATCATTTTGCTATCACTCACGTCTGGTTTTGTCATCGTTAAGGAGGCAACTTTTGCTTTGGCCCATGCAAAGAAATCATTTCGTGAGGGCCGTGAAAATGTTTTCCGCTCATGATACCCTGTATGCATTGAAATATTGGTGGAAGGGTATCATCACTTTATACGAATGTATGTAACAGACAGAGGGAGGTTTCATTTGCCGTCCGCATAAGGTTTAAATAATATTATTCAGCAACTGTCTGCCCATGTCCACTTCGGAAAAGACATTTTATAGCTAAAGACTTTGAACATAAGTCCTATCTAACGCCCAATACTTATAATAAATTATCGATAATTTGACCTGAAACATGTTACACGAAATCGGTAACAATCGTCATAAGCACCCTGTTCTTAATTCATATCATATTTAAAGGAAGAGTCGAGCGCATTGCTATATATACACATTTTGAGATTAGAAAATTTCAAAGATCAGACAATAAGCATTAAAGTTAAAGATGAATCAGGTTATGTGTGAGAATGTGTGTTTTTATGTATGTATAAATAGAAGATAGCTTTTTGGCAACTCAGCGCTGAGTGCAAGGTGTCTTATAGTCGTGCTAGACTAGATTACTACTTACTTACTTTTTTTTGTTTTTGTCTCGTTCTGCCTTTTTGCCTTTCCGCTTTTAACCACTTTATGGTTTAATTCACCAGGCATAATTATTGTACATTTCTACGTATTGACTTAATGTGTGTAAAGATCATGTTGATCCAGTCAAAAGTAAAAGTGCGATTCCGGCGACCTTAACGATGAGGTCTGCATTGTTTTTGTTGTTTGTATACAAATAAATTTGCATTCATTTTGTATGGGGGATTTTTGGTTTTTCATTTGATGAAGCCAACCGAGCTTGCGTTGTAAATTGGTTAGCAATGAAATCAAATGATTTAAATGCACGCGTGTCGGCACATTTGATTTATGTCTCTGCTATTAAAATGATATTGCCATACATCTACCCAAAATGCTGCTCAGCTGAAATTTAAATTTCTTCTCAAACTCACGTCATTGATACAGTTGCATGTCTTAGGCCCATTTATGGGCCAGGTTAAAGGTTGTTGTAGCCATTTATTGAGCACATACTAAATATGGAAATGACAAATGTTAAGATAATTATTTTATTTTGTGAAAACTGGTTTTATCACATGATATTTGCATGCGATACATAAAATATATGTGTATATAAGACAAATTTTATAATTTATTTACAACAAAATGTATGTATCTGGCATGTATGAATGGTCGATTCATTCGATTTGCCAAAATTATTATAATTTACGACTTTTAATTGTTTTTTTGCGGTTGAAACTTTGTTCACACAGTGCAAAAGAGTGTATTGGCTGTGACTATTTGTCTTTTATTTCCTAATTTTTGACTTTTTTTCGTTTTTGTGGTTAATACTCTGCCCACACAGAAAAAAGAGGTATATTGGTTTACATTTACTACATTTATTTCCGAGAGAACTAAGGTTACAGCTTTGGGGCTACAGTTTTAAAAGTATTTAT